ACGAAAGGGAGAGAAATTACCTTCACACGAGCTAGCTCTCGTTGTGGCTTCCGATTCAAAATGGCGTAACTCTCGATCCGATAGGAAGGAGGCGTCGCAGAGGTCGAAGGAGAGCTCGGATAAGGCTAAGGGAATGATCTTCTCTCTCTCTCTCTCTCTGGATCAGAAGCAACAAAGGGGGTCGGCTTGAGCAACTGAGCTCGGACAGAGGTGGAACGGGGCTGAGGATGGATTCGGGTAGGTGGATCTCTCTCTCTCTCTCTGCAGGCTGAAGGAGTAGAGGGATTCGGCCGAAGATGGAAGTCGGCACAGGCGACCGGCTTCAGAGGGATCGGGATGGAGAGAGATGGCAGCTGGGGTCGAGTGGGAGGAACGGGATCGGAAGTGGCTTCGGACGTGGGAGAGGAAGCAACGACGGGATCTCTGTGTGTGGAAGTGGGGAGGAGAAGTAGAGGCAGCGAGAGCTTTGGGTCGGTATTTAACGAAGAGGATGAAGCTACGGATCGCAGGATTCGCGCAGGGGTTCCGGGAAATGACACAAACGGCGCCCAATTCAGCGGGATATCTGCTGATTTTCTGGACTTCCTCGATAGATACGAGGTGAGCTGCTTTCTTTTTGTTCTTTACCCGTAGGTCAACATTGTTGTTGTTGTTGTTGTGGAAGTGTAGGCTCTAGTGGAGGCCCTGGAGGACTGTTAAGAAAAATTATTATGTGCGGTCACTGAATGGCGTTCAAAGGCAAATGAGAACGTGCCGAGTTATTTTATTTTTTTTGCTATATACAGCTATTGTGTACCACTCGGTACTGGGTGATGTGGCGTGTTTTGATTCGTCTCTGAACCGTTCGGTGACCGCACAGAATAATTTCTCCTATGTTAGGGGTGAGAAAAATGTAATTTCCTAACTTGAATTCTAGGAGATGGTATAGTAGAGTCCTTGGAGGGCTATTTTAAAGGGCGAGTAAAATGTCGTTAGGTGGTTGAATTGACAAAATGAATATTCCATTAATGTAGAAATTTACAGATATTCGTTAAGTATTGTCGTTTTGTTTATAGCTTTTATGCTGCTACCTCAAATATTACTTCAATAAAAATTATCGAACCATCATTTATCCTGCTAAATTTTGTATATGGATCACAGGTCAAGTTCGGCCTTTCTGGAAGAAACATAATATCGGAGGCATTAAGAGAGGCATGCAAGGAGAGGCTTTCAAATGCTCTGAATCAGGCCAAGGAGCGATTGAGAAATCATTCGTAAGCATTTCAAATCTTTTCCTGACATCATTACAGAATTAGTCGTCTTCATCTTTTTAATATTCCAATTTTTTCTCTATTTTTTATCATCCATGAGAAAGCGTTAGGTTAACAACATTGAAAAAGCTGGTTGGTATCAGCATACTGCAATAAACTTTGTTTTTGTCACCGTATGATGGTTATGGTTAGAGCTATTTTATGTTCCTTGCATGAATCCTCTCATAGAATACATTAACAATTTAGTTTTGGTATCAGTAGAGTGTTCAGAATTATTTGATATTGCTTGCACAACTCTTCCTCATTCAGGCGAACGAAAAATTATTCTGTGCGGTCAAATTTGACATTCCGATGCCTAAGCCCACGACTCGGTACCACTCGGTACCGTTGTACCGAGGCTCAGTACCGTGCGGTACGGAGCTCGGTATTACTGACATGGCTCATTCTAGTTGGTATCCGAACATAGAGCTGTGTTCGGCGTCCGCACAGAATAATCTCTCCAAGTGAACATTGCTAAATTGCCCAAGTTTTCTTCTTATGTTAATATCAACTAATCGCCTTTACAGGCTTGACATAGGCTCTTCCTCTACCTCACTTGAATTGGATTGCTTTAAGAAGTATGAGAAGGTTGGCAAAACCTTCTATAATTCGCAGATTGCGGCGACTGTGAGGTGGCTATCATCGGCGAGCTATGAACAGATAAGCGATAGGCTTAGCCAAAACTCTTCATCTCATGATGCCGAAAACAAACCAAAAGTTATTGAAAGTGCTGCTACTTCATCATCACCGAGCCCTGCAAATCAACTACTTGTTCAGTCAGTAAAAGACGATCAATTAAAGGCTAAAGTTCTGGAAAAAAATGTTTATGAGGCTGCAGCAGTGGATTTGTCCCATGGAAAGGTGGATCTTCCACCTATACCTTCATTTTCAGAGTTTGTTTACCAAAAAACCAACAACCAGAACAGACCTTCCATGGGTTCTGAAAGTGCTCCAAAGAGGATAGCTGAAGCTGATGAGAGGAAACAAAGAGTTCATGTTCACAAGAAGATGAAACAGTAACAGAATATCGTTTAAGGTTCATAAGTTAGCCGTTAAAAAAATGAAAAGTAGGTTGGTACTTAGGCATAATTTTTTGTACTAAAAAACTGCTTTAAGAAGCAGTAAAAAAGTCGTCTCAAACAAAGCCTTAAACTTTATTTGGGATAGTTTTAGACAAATGTTGTTTTACTGCTTAAATTTTTACACTAAAAAATAATTTTATGAAGCAGTAAGAAAGTCGTCTCAAATAAAATTTCAATAAGAGAGTTAATTAGTTTATGCATGTTAATATAGGATGCAATGGCATGTCTCTATCATCAAACATGTATAGCAATAATTTGTTAAATGGTGATGATGAGATTCATTATTTTCTTTTAGTTATGGAGATAATTAAATATTATTAATTAATTGTTAACTCTAATTATTACATATTCATTGGAAGGTCTATTTTATCTATACAATTTTCTTTTTAAACAATTCAAATTATTTTTTATGGTTAGAATTTATTCCAATTTTTCTATTGCTAATGTAGTTTTTTAGATCTCTTTGTCATTTCCTTTGCTTAAGATGGTGGAATTGTTGTAATCGGTCATAAGTAACGATACAACTAGTATTTTGTAAAGGTGTTTTTCTTTATTTATTGATTAAATTATGTGTAGATATTCAAATTAAAAATGGATTGTAATGAATTTCAAAATTATTTTGGAGACAAATAAGGCATAAATAATCAATTAATTTATAATAGACCAATTTAAAAAAAAATCAATTAGTATAAAATTCATGCTGACTCAAATCTTTTTACTATTTTAAAATAATATGTTTGAGTTCATTATCAAAAATCAGATGCAGGCAAAACTCAATCTACCTTTACAAAAACTTCAAAAAAAAAAATTACCAAGCTAGTTGACATCTGCATTTTAAGCTCACAATAAAATTTGTTTGAGATGGCTTTCTTAATGCTTTTTAAAGTAACTTTTTAGTATAAAAATTTTAATTTTTAACTTAAAAGTAGCTTTAAGAAGCAATACAAAAAACATCCCAAACAATATCTTAAGCTTCGTTTGGGACAGCTTTCTTAGTATAAAAATTCTTTTTATTAGAAAGCTGCTTTAAGAAGCAACAAAAAAGTTCTTTCAAACGAAGCCTAAGGTTTTGTTTGGAACGGCTTTTTTATTGTTTTCTAAAATGGAGTTTTAGTAAAAAAAAAAAAAAATTGTACTAAAACTCCGTTTTAGATAGCAATAAAAAAGCCGTCCCAAACGAAACCTAAATCTCTACCACAGCTCGCTTATTTATTAACGTAAGTTAACCATAGGCATAGCACATCTTGATTTATTGGTTGATAACTTTGACATATTTATTGATTGATAACTTTGATTATAAATTAAAAGATCTTGAGTTCAAATCTTGCATATATTATACATGTGAGTTTATTTTATTTGGCTCAAAAATTTATTAAAAAAAATTCATAATATTCACATAATTTTCATGCACATGGATTATTGAAAAAAAAAAACTCATTTTTGAAGAACCAAAAGGAGATCTCACGCATACCTCAAGTTTCTGGTCATATAAAAAAATAAAAATAAAATAAAAAATTTCTGGTCATATAATTTCAGCCTATTAGGCCTTTTTTACTTGACAACAAACCTAAGGACTCACTAAGGCAAAACACAAATTACAACTTAAACATGATAACGCTGGAAGGTAGCTAACAAAATTATGTAGATAATTCATAGGACTGTTTGAACTAACTGAAGATGGAGAGGTGCTGCTGCAATGGATTTAAACACAGCTAAAATCCACCCAAATTACCATTTTCATAGCTTATTTGCCTATCTAAAATGATCAACTCAACATGGTAGAAACTCCCCATTGAAGTCTCCAAGGACAAGCTGTTGAAACTGCAAGCAATCCAAGAGAACAAAAATCACTGAGGTTGAATAATAATTAGAATAATTCTGACAAATGAGGCTGTCATGTTGCCAACCATGAAAATGGTGAGCTTGATGATGAAGTTTATTTTATCATGATAATGTGTAGGTAAAACAAGCATGGAGGGTTGGCCGTAAGTGAGCCGGGACCCGGGAATGACCAAACGATGAAGCTATAAGCGAGGTCAGGTTGGATTAAGGCTTTGTTTGGGACGGCATTCTTTCTGCTTCTTAAAGCAGCTTCTTAAAAAACTGCTTTAAGAAGCAGTAAGAAAACCATCCCAAACAAAGCCTAAGAGTCCGTGCTGAAAGAAATCCTACTAATGCACGGCATGACCAATAAGACATAACCAAGTCTTATATTGATTCATATGTAAGAAACAATCATGCATTGGAAGCAATTATTTAACATTGACTGGAATCAGAACACATTTATGGTGCATGGTTAATTACAGCATTCTATATTAGAAATTTGATTAAGAAATATAT